CTAGTGTATTCTCCATTCTAGAAAGGGTCTATTATTTTCTGGGTTTTATATTTAAATTTTTTGCAGAGATTTAAAAACTCGGTGAGGTGAGTTTTTTTAACAAGCTGCCTCCCCCGGGGTTTTTACTGCAACAATATTAAAAAAAAATTTTCTAATTCCTCCATTTTTAAATGCCTTAAAATTGAAATCCCCCAGGACAAGATGTTGGGGTGCAGGAGCTGGAAATTTTTCCCGACCCGTGGTCAATTTTTAAAAGCTTTTTTCCTGGAAAATTTCTGGGGTGTTTCATCCGGAGGGTTTTAGACTACCACAATGACTAGGGTTTTTGGGTTTTTCGACCTTTACGGGAAAAAAATTCCACTACATAATTTTGGGAAAAAGGGGTTTTAAGCATTTTTGTGAAAAAAGTGACTCTGCAATTACAGGCCAACCCCCCCCCCCCCCCCCCTTTTTCCTGTTCTTCCCGTCAAAAAATCTGATAGGGTTTTAACCGGGATCCCCAAAATTTTGTTGTCCAAGTGATCCTTTATGTGGGTCCCCAGTGAAAGCCGCAACATTGCCCCTTTTCCTCTGCAAGCAGTCCCAAAAGGATTAAAGGGATTTTGTTTGTTTCTGGCTTTTGACCCCCTTTTATTTTCAAAGAAGAATGTCCCTCGGACTGGTGGTATTTTTTTGGGACTGGGGGGGGGTTTTTTTTCCGGCATTAGTAACGTATCGTTTGGGTTTTGGGGTGGAGGGGATCGACGGGGGTTCCCTCCAGATTTCCCGGAAATTTTGGGGTACAATTTTCCTTTCCATTTCCGCCATTTTTTTTTCCCTTTCCCGGCACTAAAAAAACCCCTCCCTCTTGAGTGGGTGGGGGCAAACCCCGGTTTTCCCCCGGGGCCCGGATGTTTTTTTTATCTTTTTGCCCCCCTTTTGAAAGGGGTGCCTGGGAAATTTTTTTAATTTGCAAAGTCTTTTTCCCTTTTCTGAAGAGGTACACTTTTCCCGGGGTGAAAAAGCCCTACAAAGGGGGTTTGCATTTTCCTGTTTTCATATGGGGGACGGCATTTTCTAGGGTGGTCATAGTTGCACGTCCCATCTTTTTTTCCCAAAGATTTCCCATGTCTGCAGTACCAAGTGCGTAGTATGTGCACAGGCTTGGTTTCCGTTTGCTTGGGTTTCTGTGACTGTATTCCCTGTTGGTGCATGTTTACCTGTCTTTTTCCTATCTTCCCTAGCACCAACAATGGAGCTCCCACCATTGTTTTTGGTAATATATCCCACTTTTGCTAGTGAGTCCTCTTGTTTGCTATTTCCTTTGTATTTCTTGTTTGCAATATTGGTTTTATTTTTGACTACACTTGTTTCCCCACTACGCTCCTGTCCCCTATGAGGTCATTTATATGCATCCTTCCTGCGTATAATTCCCGACTCCGGGACAAAATCTCCAGCTTCACCATTACTGTCTCCCAGGACACACCTCCAGCTTCACCTTTAAACTGTCTCCCAGGACAGCATCTCCAACTCACCATTACTGTCTCCAAGACAGCATCTCCAGCTTCACCATTAACGTCTCCCAGGACAGCATCTCCAACTTCACCTTACTGTCTCCCAGGACAGCACCTCCAGCTTCACCATTACTGTCTCCCAGGACAGAAACCTCCAGCTTCACCATTACTGTCTCCAGGACAGCACCTCCAGCTTCACCATTACTGTCTCCCAGGACAGCACCTCCAGCTTCACCATTACGTCTTCCCAGGACACATCTCCAGCTTCACCATTACTGTCCTCCAGGACAGCACCTCCAGCTTCACCATTACTGTCTCCCAGGACAGCACCTCCAGCTTCACCATTACTGTCTCCCGGGACAGCCCCTCCAGCTTCACCATTACTGTCTCCCAGGACAGCACAATCAGCCCCACATTTACGGGACTACCAGGACATCACCTCCAGCCTTACAGTTTCTGACTACATGGCCAGTACCATTCAGCCCAGACTTTTTATGTTTCCCATCTGTTGTAGAAAGCTTCCAGGTTGTCTATAAAGCAGCTTTGATGTTATCCTTTTTTAATACCCTTGTGTTTTTTAGTCCACAGATTTATCTCCTTTGGGCATACCCAAAAACACTTCCCTGTTTTAAATACTGCTTGTAGCAGTTCTTGGATAATCTGCACAAGGGGCGTGACACCAATTTCCCAAAAATGACAATTTTATCCACGTGGAAGCCCGTTTGTTTGATTTATTGCAGACTAACACGGCTTCATAATGATTTGAATGGTTGATTTACTGTAATTCTACTAGAAACCCTCTTGAATACTCTATTAGTAACCTCTTTAAGTAAAGCACTAGCTATTTGTATTTCTTTTTATAACTGTACTTTTATATCAGGACAGCTTACCGGAGTACGCTCCGGGAGTTTGTTTTATATTTATTGTTTGTGTTTATAAGGGGCCTACAACCCCATCCGTTTACAGTCTGTTTTATTGTCCAAAACGAATCCGTTTGAAACCGGCCAAGGGTTCGACCAGTCGAGGGTTCGGTCCATTCGAGGGTTCGGAGCCATTCTGATCGATCAGTGGGTCACTTTTTTTAAAACATACGGGTTTCGGTGATTTTGGGCTAACACATGAAAAGATCTACTGGAAAAATCTACCCGAGAAATATGTTACTTGATTGATACAAAGTATAACTTGCGTGTTGAAGAAACCGGTGACTGCGGGCAACTCCTACAGTGACGAACGGTCGAGCCTCAACCCTTGTTTATCAATCGCTGTATCTAGCTTTTCTAGTTTTTCTTTTTGGTCTCCACCACAATAAATGCTTTATTATCACTATAGTTGACTGGTGGAAATTTTGGAGGAGGGACGCTTTTTCTGTAGTAATAATGCTTCTCGTTGTGTATATTGCGACCGCTGGTAACTACAGGTTATATGAAATTCACAGTATACGTCTGGTATTTCAAGAAAAAGAAACAATGAAAGTCACTCCACTCCACTAAGTACCATTATAATACTGGTTAGTTGCTACTACAGCACTGTATTCTGCTATTCACTGGTATCACTAGATTATATGCGAGTACACTAGCAGCCAGAAGATTATTAAAAACAGCTGACCTGTGGTAAGTTTCTGACGACTTCTGTCACCTGCCTCTATAGGCTTATCACTTCATTTACAAATGATACTTTAGCCTTTATCATCTATATACTAGGGAGCCACTGTAGTATACACTATAACACTATGTATACACAATGCTATCAGGGAGACTTTCTTTCCTCTGACAAGAAAAGTTCAATTATTATTATTTTTTCACACGGCACCCAGGCCTATGATTCCCCTCTGGTAGTAAACTCTTCTAGGTAGTGCACACTAATTCTCCTTTTTTGACTCAGTATATAATGTTTTCCGCCCAAGATTGGTTCCAGGCGCTAGAGGGATGTATCGTATAGGATTGATGACACAAATTAAAGTTCTAGCACGTAAGAGTGACCGTGAAAACAGGAGAAAACCCGGAGCACAACAAGGCACGCTGACACACACACACGCACATTATCGAGGGTTTATGAAATAAGAATATTGAACAAGAACGTTTAGCTACCGTGAATATTTTACATGTTTGTTGATTAATAATATTAATAGATTCAAAGAGATTACTGCATCTTGCTAAAAAAAAGATAAAAAAGAGAGCATAAAATTACGCAAAACGAGAGGAAAACTTGAGAATAAAAATAATGCCTGATATCTCTGAGGTTGTATTACAATGTTTTTCTTCACAGTAACTAAATGGAATTGTAGAGGATGTTGAAAACTTTTTAAAATCCACTGTGCAATTCTTGTACGAAAAAAATAAGAAGTTTCATAGAAGTAAACAATAATCGCATGAAATTTCTAATCAAAATATATATTTAATCAATAAAAAAGTAAAAAGTGGCGCAAAACCTGAATTTCTTGGGAAATAATGAGAGACGCCTGAAGTAGGAATTGAAATCACTGAAAACTTTTGGTAGCGAGTTTAAATAAAGGTATAATATCTTTTTATTACAAGACTTCATGACTCGCGAAATCGTAATAAGACAACTGCAAACAAACCACAGTACGGGTGGGGCTCGAACTCACTGCAAGTAAATCTTACTCTAGCCAGCTTGCCCAGTGGCTTACGCACTAGCCTGGAGTTTTACGACTCACTTTACGTGAGTTCGACCCCAATTCGCAACATGGTTTCAACTGACTTCACGTATGCATTTTTATGCACTTTATGTTCATAACACATCCAGAAATCGAAAAATAAAGACTGAACGGCGATTTTGTCTGTTTTGAACCATTGTAAAAAGCGAGTGTCGAAGTTCGTTCAGGGGGAACCGACACTCCCTTCAGTGTTTGTTCCCTATGTGGGGGTAAATTCTGTATTATTTAAACTTCGGTACTGTAACTTTCATTCTTTACTAGTTGTCTTCCTTTCCATTTACTCTGGCTCTGCCTTCACTTTGTTCTGCGCTTCCCCACAAAATACAAGATTTGGGTACAAAGTATAAACAAAATGCCAACGAATAAATTCGATCCCGAGAAGCCATGTTGATACCTACAATACATAGATAAAGTCACATACGTATGCACTCTTCAAAATACTTGTCGAGGAAATGTTTTAGAACTCGTGGCCAAATGTTTCCTCAATAAATGTACTGAACAGCACATATGTCTTTACATACCATCTGTATCACTTTACAACACTAGAGATGGACTTTATTTTTTAGATGGCTGAAGAAGCTACTAGTGGCGAAACGTTTCCTCAATATATGTCTTGAACTGTTCATACAATATGCGTTTTTTTTTTATCTATACAATAAGGAATTCACAATTAACCAAGCAGAAAATGAAGATAGTGAAGTTGTTAAAAAAATCTTTAAAGTAAATATAGCATTTGAAATACAATTTTTGACAAGACTAATATCCACATTATATACTGTAGATAATATGATGGATTTAAAAAAAAATTGAGTGTAATGTTTTGCTCTCTGCAGCCAAAATCAGAAGTTGAGTGTGGAACACGAGCAACTGAAGGCGGAACACCACAAACTGAAGATCGAGGAAGCGGAGAAGAGTACACGCCTTCACGAGCTCATGTAAGTAACTCATCATAGATGGAACTGGCTGCACATATTATTTTAAATACAATTTCTTATATATTTAGTTTTGTTCAAGTTGACTGCTAAAGTTTTGTTGGAAATTACTCATGGATTGTAATGGATCGAAGATCTGTTGATTGTAACCCACAAAATCTTGTCAACCTCTCAAAAATCTTTATTTGACGGTAAGAATATTTTCTTTGTTTTTTAATTTCGAGTCGTTTGTACAATGGAATGATTAACACCTAGCAATGTCATTTAACATTATGGATTTAATGACAGTTAATTGGTAATAAACTGATCACTAGCGACAGTGACCCTTGTAACAAACATTATAAACTGACCGCTGGTGGCAGTGACCCTATTTGATACGTTACAAGCCACAGGCAATGTTTACTGAAGCTTAATTATTATAGCACCTTATTTTGCAGAATGTACGAGCTTCATGCATGGCCTTTGCACCACAGTACTTGCATTTTTATTATTATTTCTGTGTGGCGGTCAACTTACTATCAAAGCTTCCAGTGAATACTTACCTGCAATATCATGTGAGTACAGAAGATAAAAATACTTAAGAGTAATTACTACAAACTAGTAGAAAGTAAATTTTGGAAGCTTAGTAAAGTAGAGTTTGTTTTGTGCTACTTAATAGGGAAAGACTACATCCTCGCTACTTAGCAAATGCTGTAAACAGATAATTTGCACTAAGTGCAAAGTTTATTTAAAATGTTAATTTAGACACATTTTGCAAAATCTTGAAAGCAACAAGCTAGTCTTATTTCAATAAACTCTCACACCAATGCGAAATATGTTTAATATTTTAATATGAAAAACCACATGTCAGAAAAGTGAAAATTGAATATAAGACATGTAATAATTTGCAACGAATTCTTTTTCGAAACTGTTAAATAATATTGTACTAAGACTGAGTATAGTTTTATATGATGGATAATTTGTTTGAAGACTTAATGAATGCTTCTGAGGTATTATAGTTACACTGGTGGTGATTCATACATATGCATAATTTAATTTTTCAATTTTATTATATTACAGTGTGATGTGATTTAGACTTTTAAAAGAGCAAGAGGGCTTATATCAACCCTCTTGGGTCTTAAATCCATCATTGTATGTTCAATAATTTGTTCTTACTCTTCTTATGGTGTCCCATGCAGAACTTTCTCAACTACCAACATTTAACAATGCACATATATTTACATCATTCTTTTATTTAACTTATTAACTGGGGCAATTTTTTTACATATATTTTTGTATATATTATTTTTTGTCGATGTACAATCTTCAAACTTTTAGTTAATAAATACAGGAGTAAGTATTTTATTTACTTTCTCCATTATATTTGGTTTTTGATCATTGATCAGAGGCCAGGCATCGCTTAGCGAGAGGAGGATCAAGCCTTCACTATTCGTAACCCTAAAGGTCCCACACGGGTTAGGCGTTTTGTGGAACAATACACTAAAAAATCCATTATACAGTAGACCGTTATATTATACTGTAGTTACGTTCCTGAAAATGTCGTGTTAGGTAAATCCATGTAAAATAAACTAAGAACTTAGGGGAAAAATAGGGTTATGTTCCTGGGAGCTCCCAAAAAAGCCAAATATCTTTTTTTTTTTTTTTTAGACCAACAGATCTTACAAAAATAAAAGTGAACATGTAATTGTAGTTCACTGTTGTGATATATTATGTTTTTAACTGCTTAAGACTACAAATGCAACAGAAATAATAGTATTTGTTACCTTAAATTGTGGGTGCTGGCATTTGTCGATGATTGTAAAGAGAGTGGAGAGTTTTGTTGTGGTCCTACTGGGCTGAGGTGGATGGTAAAGGTCGATGGTTGAACTAGAGTGTGCATAAATTCTGTAATGGATTTCTGGGCTATTTTTACCCTGCAGTACATTATACAGCTGACGATAAGGTATCAGCTGCCAGGGTCCTCCTCAGTGAAAAAGTATATATCTTCTTCTTTCAATGTACCAGCCATATCCCACCAAGGTGGGGTGGCCCAAAAGGAATAAGTAAGTTTCTCCTTTCAAATTTAGTAATATATACAGGAGAACGGGTTACTAGCCCCTTGCTCCCGGCATTTTAGTCACCTCTTACGACACACATGGCTTACGGAGGAAGAATTCTGTTCCACTTCCCCATGGAGATAAGAGGAAATAAACAAGAACTAGTAAGACAATAGAAGAAAACCCAGAGGGGTGTGTATGTATATATGCTTGTACATGCATGTGTAGTGTGACCTAAGTGTAAGTAGAAGTAGCAAGAAGTACCAGAAATCTTGCATGTATATGAGACAGAAAAAAGACACCAGCAATCCTATCATATAAAACGATTACAGGCTTTCGTTTTACACTCACTTGGCAGGATGGTAGTACCTCCCTGGGCAATGCTGCTGCCTACCAACCTACTACCTAGTTTATAGTATATATATATATATATATATATATATATATATATATATATATATATATATATATATATATATGGCTTAAACAACTACTAAAACAAGTTAAATGTTTAATTAGTTGAAATACCATTAGACAGATAAAGTATTAACTTTAATGGCAGAACCGAGTTGTGATTCAAAAAGGTTACAAAGCATGATAAGATGCTACAACTGAAACATGGAGAAAAAGATTGCAGCAGGAATGTTAATGTAAGGTATAAGCATAATTATGGTGAAGGATTGTGTTTTACAAAGGATAAAAGAACAAAAGCAATTATCCTACCTCAGCTCATTTTAAAACTCCGGTCCCTCTAACGCATACCAACACCACCTAAGATACAGCACGCAAGTGCAAACTAATGTTAACGCAGGTACCCAGTAGGTGATCCCAGCTCTTCTCCATTGTGCACTGAACATGCTATGACTGAGTTACAATACTCTAAGTGAGAGTACTGAATACAAATAATTCTGACGTTAATTATCAATATTAATGAAACAAACGCACATTAACTGGTGAACGAGTCACAAAATGTCTCGCAACACCCTTGCCAGAATATAATCTTATCTGGATGACACCAGGGTGAGTAACACGCAAATAGGAATCATCAGTTCAATTTAGATTCCACTACATGGATTACATAAAGGCGAATGTCATATTTATCGCACCAGATCCTAGGGTTTCTCTTGTGTGCCTCTGTGCACACAACTGTACGGTAATTAAAATAAGCTGATACATTGACCTTTAAGATTTTTTATGCAAAAACTGACTACTATAGCTTCAGTAACAAAGGTTTTATAATGCAGCTTTTTGAAATGTGAGAATCTACTTCGTATGGAGGCTTCAGTGAACTCTGGAATAGCATCCAGTCTGAATACCTATATTTCATCAGTACTGAAAAATCCCAGTGCCATTTTTTTTTAGCTCAGTTCCCCTCGCCACCCAATACTTCCACGCGTTTCTATTGTTACTAAGTACACACCCGTCTCCTTGCCTCGGTGTAGCAGCATGAAGAACAGCTTACTGCGAAGGTGTCTCTCAGTGTGCCTCAATGACCCCTTCACAGAAAATAGCTTTATACACAAAATAGCGTATTCTGTGTTCAGGGTCAGTTAACCATGTCAGGAATCCTACCACCAGTACTCTAAACTGTGGTGGAAGCAGTTGCGTGCCTCAAGGAATATTATAATAAAACTGCGCACAGAAATCATTCTCTACTGAAAACAAAAGTTGAAAAGCGAATGTTGGACTTATATAAGTTTATTAAAAGTAATTAAAGGTATTCAAAAGATGAAGACCGAGAGTATTGGAAATGAGTGTCAGTTTAAGTCATTCACCAACATAATAGGATTAATCAGCTATATTCTGAGAAAAGATGGCTGTAGAGTTAAATGTATGATAAAGTTCATAGCTGTCAATCAGGTAGTGCAAGACAACCAAACTATTAGAAACTGGTCAACTTGAATAGTGGGGTCAATAAATGTACTGTATACCTGGAGTATACTTGGAAAGGGCTTCGAGGGTCAACGCCCCCGTGGCTCAGTCTAAGACCAGGCCTCGTGGTGGATCAGTCTGATCAACCAGGCTTTTACTGCTGGCCGCACACAAACTGACGTACGACCTACAGCCCGGCTGGTCAGGTACTGACTTGAGGAGTCTGTCCAGTGCCTTCTTGAAGACATCCAGGGGTCTATTAGTAATCCCCCTTGTATATGCTGGGAGACAGTTGAACCATCTTGGGCCCCTGACATTTACTGTGTTGTCTCTCAGTGTACTCGTGGTGCCCTTGCTTTTCATTGGGGGAATGTTGCATCTCCTGCTGAGTCTTTTGCTTTCATAGGGCGTGATTTTCGTGTGCAACTTTGGTACTAATCCCTCTAGGCTTTTCCCGAGTGTAAATTATCATGTATCTCTCGCCTGCACTCCAGGGAATGCAGATCAAGGGCCTTCAACCGTTCACAGTAATTTAGGTGCGTTATTGTACTTATGTGTGTGGTGAAAGTTCTTTGTACAGTCTCCAGGTCAGCAATTTCGCCTTCCTTGAAGGGGGCAGTTAGTGTACAGCAGTATTCCAGCCTAGAGAGAACAGGCGATTTGAAGAGAATCATCATGGGATTGGCGTCCCTAGTTTTGAAGGTTCTCATTATTCATTCTGTCATTTTCCTAGCAGATGCGGTAGATACATTGTTGCGGTCTTTGAAGGCGACATCCTTTGACAATATACACTCCCAGGTCCTTCACAATACTTTTTCGCTATATTGTATGCTTAGAATTTGTCATATACCCTGTTACAGTTTTAATTTCATCAAGTTCTCCATATCTGAGTGAGTGAAATTTCTCTTCATTGAGCTTCATATTGTTTTGAGTGGCCCATTTGAAGATTTGGTATATGTCCGCTTGCAGTCTTGCGGTGTCTTCGATGGAGGTCACTGTCATGGCAATTCGGGTGTCATCCGGAAAGGAAGACATGGAGCAATGGCTTACATCTCTGTCTATGTCAGATATGAGGATGAATAGGATGGGAGCGAGTACTGTGCCTTGTGGAATAAAGCTTTTCGCCGTGGATGCCTCGGACTTTACTCTTTTTACTATTACTCTTTGTGTTCTATTTGTCAGGAATGTTATAGATCCATATACCAAGTTTTCCTGTTATTCCTTTATCACGCATTTTGTGCGCTATTACACCATTGTTACACTTGTCGAAGGCTTTTGCAAAGTCTGTGTACACTAATACATCTGCATTTTGTTTATCCTCTACAGCATCCACGACCTTGTCTTAGTGGTCCAATAGCTAGTTGGCGATCTTGCGACTGAGAACCCTTTTAAAGATTTTTATGATATGGGATGTTAGTGCTATCGGTCTGTAGTTCTTTACAACTGCTTTACTGCCACCTTTGTAGAGTGGGGACTATGTCTGTTTTTAGTGAGTGTGGGATGACTCTTGTGTTCACGTTCCCTTTCCATAGAATGCTAAAGGCACATGACAGGGGCTACTTGCAGTTCTTGATGAACATGGAGTTCCATGTGTCTGGGCCTCGGGTAGAGTGCATGGGCATGTCATTTATTGCCTTTTCCAAGTCTTGTGGTGTTAGGATAATATCAGAGATGTTTGAGATGACCAAATTTTGGGTTTTGCTCATAAAGAATTCATTTGGATTGTCGATCCTTAGTGTGGGTAACGGCTCGCTGAACACCGAGTCACATTGGGACTTTAGTATCTCACTCATTCCTTGGCTGTCATCTGTGTATGTTCCATCTCGCCTAAGCAGGGGCCCAATACTGGCATAAGAAATATTTTTTTTTTAATTTCCTTTTATGGCTTTTAGTTCTTGCAAGTCTTGTCTCCTGGCAGATTCCTTCAGCTTAAGTTCGATATTTACTGTTTCATTGACCAATGCCTCCGTATTTCAGATATATTTGCTCCTCTCAGCAGCTCTGTAATTCTTCGCCTTCGTCTGTATAGGGAGCGTCTCTCTCTTTCTAGTTTACATCTTTCTTTTTCTTAATGGAATGTGCCTTGAGCAGATCTCAAGAACCACAGTTTATTTTTTTAGGCAAAGGTTCGGATCCATGTTATTTAGGATATCTTCCCAGACTGTTTCATTTAGGACATGGTTGACTTGTTCCCACTGTATGTTTTTGTTACTGAAGATGAATTTTGTGAAGACACCCTCATGACTGATCACATTTTGCTGGTCAGGAGCCCCGTGCATACATGTCTGTACCTCTGTGCTAGAAGTTACTGCAGGGATTGTAAAAACACTCATAAAGCTCTTAGTATCGCGACTTAAAACTTTTCTTTTATCATTTAAGGTGAAATTATTTTCCAATAAAATCTCAGGAAAGTAAAGAAACAGAAACAGTAAGATGGCGAATGAGAAGAGTAAAGTAAATGATTTGAAGCAGATGCAAGAAAACTGCGCTGGTAACTGAACCAGATATCATGCCCACACAATCCTGGAACTGACAGCCCGATTCTCTAGGAATGTTAAATTAAAGAATATTGTGACTAATGAGTTGTGGTTCATTAGTCATACTACTGGTTAACCGACAGAAAATGTTGCCTGGAGCAAAAGATTAATATTGCTCAGAATCAGCAGTGACTATAGTTAGACTGATATAATCAGGAATCAGAAACCACAGTTAGCTATAAACATAACTGAATAAATTTATTCATGTTACCGGTTTAGTATTTAAATTTACTGAAAAAAATAGGCATGATATAAAATTTTCTTTCATCCTCTTAAATATTGAGAACAGTAAGTACAAGAAGAAGCTTATCCTGACTAGAATCACTATCAAAAAAGTAAGAGAGAGAGAGAGAGAGAGAGAGAGAGAGAGAGAATGTTCTTTATAAAGGAATATTATTGGACAACACGACAATAAGAACAAGATCCACACGAAGGACTATCACACTAGCCAGATTAAAATGGAACCAGTTGAAATTAGAGTGAGAAATATAGACCAACACGGAGTTTTCCAAGACTCCTAGAGAGAAAACATTTTATTTTCTGAGTTCTAATTTGTGAATGTATATTTTGTCTGTTTTATAAGTACAGTAGCGAGATAGTCATGAAACATTACCCTTTGAAAAATTTATGCACGTTCACAGAATTTTTATTAAAGCCAGTTTGTATGAAGTGTTTGTGAAAATCGACTAATCAAAAAGTGGATCTAGGTTCCACCAATGAGGAACGACTGCAGACGTTCCTCTAAATATCCTGCAACCATTAATGAAGGAGGATTGTTTCTAATGTTTTTAGAAATACACTTAAATAGAATGAATAGTACAGATGTGAAATTAATCATACAGAAGTAAATACAGCGTTCTCTGTTAAAAAAAGAAAATTAAAATGCGCATCTTTAGGGCACAGCTACACATGAGTGTAGGAAGTTCAAGCTTAGGTGAGGACGGACTGAGTTGGTACTCTACATAAACAAGGCGAAAAAACTAACCTTCTTGTGACTTCAAATATGAAATAGTCTTCTCTGACAAGATCCTGATATTTGAATGCATACTGCAGAGAAAGTTTCGTAGCCTTGGATTTACAGATCCAACTCCAAGAGCAGAGTTTTAAGAATCTGGTTCCCACTAGAGAAACACAAGATAGTGGTAATTTTTCTTCCAGATAAAGCTGTATATGTATGTCGGTGGTCATGTTATGACTAGGATTCAGATCAAAGGCAAAGTGCGTGGTTTGTATCGCGTCCCTACAACCAATCAAATGTAAGTGCAAATGTGCATAGTGTAAGTGATAATAATAATAATAATAATAATAATAATAATAATAATAATAATAATATCTTGTACAAGTGCATGTACAAGGTATACAGGCCTAGCTGACATCAGTTTCATACTAATATATAGAAAGCCGCTTGTTATGCAGAGCATTTCGGGCAAATTAGGTCAGTTTTGTCCCGAGATGCCTCCCATGGGAGACTTAGGTCTCAGACACTCCCTAAAGAGGGAGCCAAGGCCGGGCCACCACTTGGAAAAGGCCCGGGCCGGGAGAATACCGGCGAATCTTTAATAATAAATAATAATCCCAGGATGCGACCAGTCGACCAACACCCAGGTGCCCATTTTCCTGATGGAGAACAGAGACAACCGGTGTAAAGAAACATGCCCAATGTTTCTACCCTAGCCGGGAATCGAATCCGGACTATCGCCGTCTGGTGCAAGGGTTTCGGTCACCAGGCCACGGGGCCTGGTGGTAACTAAGTATTTTAGCTGTCCACTGAAACAATCGAACAATTAGATAATATAAAATTACAGTTCACCATAGGCTTTCTTTCAAGCTAAATAAATTTTGAAAATATATCCGGGCACTGGGGAACGCTTGATCCATTGTGGATCAGTGTGCGGTCAGTTTTGTCCGTGAGGACACTGTGAATGATAACTCAAAACGGACTAGAGACTACCAGACGTGACAACTGAATTATCAGTTAAGATTAATTTTTATTCGCTGGCTTGAGGTCAAAATTTTAGACTATTTCCACTATAGATTAGATTTCGAGTCTGTATTTCCCACATTACTGGGGAAATTGAGGTATTCCGACCGGTTGTTATTGCTAACGTTCGATTCCGATGGCAAAAATAACATTTACTGGTATTAGTAACTAGATATTCTGTTTTACACGACGTCATGAAAATCACAACGAGGAGTATTTATTTATTTTTGTAGATTATGTAAGTGCCAATTGGACAAAGAATTATTAGAAGGTATTACAAGTACAAATGTTTTGTTTGTGTAGTTGTTTCAGCAATGTTCATTCACAACCACAACTAGTGAACTTTCTGGCCACACATTAATTTATGTATTATAATAACGCTATTTCTTGAACAATGGCACATTGCTGCGAACAACTACTGGTTCTTTAAATATCATTTAAATTCTAAAATGTGGAAATATAAGCAGCCATGATACACTATGTTCACAGTGCCTTTAGCATGAGCATACTATTTTTTAAGCTATTTTTCAGCCATCATATTTTATTATATTGTTACGAAAATTTAAAATGCGATTTTTTAAATCTTTATTTCATCATTAACTAAAAGTATGTTTTTGCATGCTAAAAGGGAAGGAATTTTGACTTGGAACTAAATAAAACAGTAATGTCTTGCCTTGTATTGCCTGCTTATTATTAGGAAATAAAATTAATTAGACTAGATACCTTTCCTTTGTGAACTATGTCAGTACAGTGCATAAGCTTAGAAAACTATTAAATCAATGTCCATTTGGACATATATATTTTATGTTATACTATGAGTTCCAGTGCTACTCTTCAGCCATGGCATTTGATTAACATAACAGTGGCTCAGCACATACTTCTGCCATGGTACATCTGAAAAGAATCAGTTTAACGTAAATTCAGACCCCGAGAATCATACAAAACCAGGATGTAGAGTAGATTATTCAGGCTAGGCTCAATTTTGCATATTTCCTGGTCTTTCTCAGTTTTGCTGGATTTCGGTGGGCTCAACACCTCAATGAGGTCTCTCTTCTTCTTCACGAAACTATTAGCTTGCGTCACTGGACTCCCAGAGGCTCGACAAGGTGAGTCCTTGGGCTCCGAGGGTTGTAGGCACGCAGACCTCCCGGCCACTCAAGTTTTCTTCAGACTACCCAGACTCTTCAGACTACCCCAAGGCCCCTCCCCTTCCCAAGTTATGTCAGACTCAGAGCTGAATTAATGATTGAAAGACCAGGGAGCGACTAACATCCTGTATCGCACTATGTCTCTTGCAAAATTCATTGATATCAATGACAAACTTGATTTAATTTATATTACGTATACATATCTGAGCATAGATTAGATAATAGGACGATATTGTACTCGCAATCTGGCCTTACACTCAAGGTGAGGGCGCTCTGGACTGTCCATCACGTAATCCCAATATACATCTAACCACGGCCTGGCTTTGCCTACACTTGGCCCATTTGCTCAGATTCAGCCTTGGCCTGGCCCCACCTTGGTCTACTTTTGACCCTTGTTTGGCCTTAAATAACTGCTCACTTATTTTAGCCTCTTTGTGCCTCAGTGCTTGTATTATTTTAATGCTATGTGTACGATAATGTTTGCACTGATGCAGTTTCTTACTTTTAATACTTCACTGGAAGTACTTTTTATTAGTTATTCTTTGGAGGCTCTTGTTTTATTTATTCAGTAGCGAATCTTACTAATTTGATTAAATGAAGGCTGGTGCTAATCTCCAGCATTCACAGAAGGCTGTAGATTTTGCTTTGCACCAGTTGACAGCAATTGCTTGTCAGGTGTAAAATTGGTTATCCATCTGGGACTCGCCTTGTCACCTCTGAGTTCACTAAGTTCCCACAGTGTTAAGTATATAGCTTGTTATTCTATTTTCCTAAAATAATTTTGCGCAGTAATACTATTGTAATGCTTGCATACTTTCTGCATGCTGTTTTGGACTTTGTGTGTGTTCTACGCATGTTTTCAATACATTTGTTATATTGCAGCCATTTTGAATGATATAAAATAGCAAAAATAACTTTCTTGAGTTTTTGGAAACGAGCTTTAAAGCACAGCTTACTATACACGATTTTTCTGTCAGGTAAGTTGAGGCAGAATTAATAAGCTTAACTGTGTATGACATGAATGCATCCGTAGTATAGAATATGGAATATTAACTGCATGTTTACATTGTTCCAAGATAGCAAAATTACATGGGAGGCATATGAAATGCATTTTAAACATTTATGGTAATATATTTACTGCATATAAAGCGGCTCTTAATCGTTCTTATAATCACGCAAAAACTGTAATTCCGTTGGCATGCATATATTACTAGATTTTGAAATATAAACTGTTAGGAATGACAGTTCCTCCAACAAGTGCGTATTTATCAGGATGAAAAACAACCTTAATTTTCAATCTGTTTTGCCTTTTGTGTCCCTCTTTTTATGAACCGTCTGTCATACTGGAGTCTTCTTGAGGTTGGAGTATTAACCGGACGCCGTACGTACGCTGAGCTGATTAGTACGAGTTATCATGGGAAGGCGAAGGTGTTTATGGTTCATTAAACCTTACATACAAAGGATAGCGTTCAATGACCTACCTCGAAATGAAATGGTTTGCGTTCGGATGTCGATGAACTAGCAAGAATCATACCAACAAAATAATTGAGGAGGAGACAGGTGAAAACTCAAAGTACTGTAACTCTGAGACCAGAATCTGACTCGTTTGTATAACTGGCAATTGGATGTACCACACAAAGACCTTAAATACTATCAAGGCTGGAAATGGTTTCAGCCTAATCTAGGTCGTGTTGGTTCTGATGCCTATGAATATCTCTCGAGTCCTGCTAATGATCTCTGTTTTTACCACATACTAAATAAAGAGCAAGTACCATCCTCGTGTTCCCTCTTTCACAAAATTGGTTTGATGAAGAGGAATCTCTCAATAATTAATTCAGCACGAGATGAATTTAAAGATGATCTAGATGACCTTATAAGTAACCCAACACGCTGAACATGGGAGTGTAGGGAAGATCTGGTCAGGTCGCATATTAACTAAATTTTTATGAGCAACATGTCAGGCATAGTTTAAATCCCTCACGAATTCCATTAAAAATGAATCTAGTTTATATAATTCTGACCTTACATTTTTGAACTCTACTATTTTTCATGAAACGATTCGATTATATTTCGCTCAACCGTGAACCTGCTTAATACAACTTTCTCGGCGTTTTGAAAATCAATTAGGTGGTTAAAATCTCTCACGGCTTATAATATTTTGCTGATAAATTGCCATAATAGTATCGTACCAAATTACGTACCCTCACTTGGTGGGTACCTTCTAAATCTAGACTCACTTGGTGGGTACCTACTAAATCTTAGCCTCACTTGGTGGGTACCTTACTTTTATATTCTAGCCTCACTTAGTGTGTACCTCTCTTCTCCACCCTAACCTCACCACGTGAGTTAAAACTTTTCTCTACTCTATATTCTAATCTCACCAGTGGTTCTAACTTTCCCACTCAGTATCCTAACCTCACCTGGTGGACTTTTTTACTCTACCCTAACCTTACCAGTGGAGTTCTTACTTCAGCTAGTGGGTTCTCCGCTGAATTTTTTAGCTTTATAAAGTAGGTTCTTACCTAACCTGGTGGGTTCTACTATATACCATAACGTGGTTGGTTCTGATCTTAGCAGGCAATTTCATCTACTCAGTACCTCAACCTCAATTGGCTGGCTCCTCTGCGCTATACCTTAACCTCATTAGGGAATTCAAACCTCTTTAGGTAAGTTTCTTTGCTCTGTATCATAATTTGCTCTAATCTCACTAGTCAGTTTCATTGATCTATATCCTAACGCCACCAGATGGTTACTTAGTTATATGTAGAAATCAAAAAGGAGTAATTTTGTAAGCTGACTTTTCTTTCCAAAAACACAATAAAAACAAAGTTATGACAGCCAGGAAAATGACGGGGTGGGGGCGGGGGGTATAATGAGAACTTTCAAAGCAAGGGAACTAGTACCATTGGTGATACTTTTCAAATCGTTTGTTTTCTCACACTTGGAATATTGGTCAGTGTTGACGACCCGGTTAAAAGCAGAAAAGATATAGCTGGACCAGATACAGACAGAGGTCGTTTACGGCCAGTATAAAGCCAATGAAGCCTTTAAGTTACTGAGAACTCCTTGAAGTCTAAAATGTACTCACATGGAGCCGAGGAGAGATACATGAAAATTTATAATAAAAAAGTACCTGAGGTCCTTGTCCCAAACCTGCACACTGCCATAACAACATACTGGGAAGAGATATGGGAAGAAATGCAAAATAAACCCAGTGAAAAGCAGGGGCACCGTGGGCACAATAGGGGAACACTGTATGAACGTCCGTGGCCCCAGACTACTCATCATCTTATCAGAAGATGTATATTAATGGTATACAATACCGACAAGATGATGAATTAGACATTGTGCAACATCTCTATATCTTTAACTGTAGACGTTTCGCCATCAGTGGCTTTATGTCCATTTACTGTATTTATAAAGCCACTGAATGGCGAAACGTCTACAAATAAAGATACCCAAACGTTGCACGTGAGTCTAATTCTTCATATTACCAGAAGATATCAGAATACTGCTGGAACAAGTGTAAGAGTCTTCAAGAGGAGACTGGATAAGTATCTTCACCAGGTGCCAGATCAACCAGGCTGTGATGGATATGTGGGGCAGCTGGCTACCAGTAGCAACAGCCTGGTTGACCAGGCAAGAACCAGACGAGCCTGGCCCAAGGCTGGACTCTGGAAGTAGAAAAACTGTCATCAAATGTATGAAGGTATACACTAACCTTACCAATTAGTTTTCACTTCTCTATTCACTAACCTCACCAAGTGAGTAGTACTGTTCTTCCATTATAGCATGACACCTGCATGATACTCAAATGTTTATCAAAGATCTTTTAGATTTTTAAGTGGAAAATATTTCAGCTTAAAATTTAATTTCCTTATAAAGATTATTAAAAATGAGCAATCTAAACTAGCCACTTAAGAATAACACTATTTAGAATCCTAATCCCTTCTTTCATTCAACAGCAGGATGAACAGTAAGGTGATTTACATAGACACAATGAGATCGACACCATGCCCAGCCCTTCTAGGGTAGGGTAGGTGCCTGAGCCCGAGCTTGTAGCTCACAAGCCTGTCATTCCCAAAAACCTCCTTGGGGCGGGGATGGCAGACCAGAGAGGCCTAGCTTCTCCTTACGAGAAGCTAGGTCTGGGTACAGCTGGTCCCAAAGATGAGGAGGTACTTGTGCCTCCTCCCATGTGAGACTTAGGTCTCAGACACTCCCTAAAGAGGGAGCCAAGGCCGGGCCACCACTTGGAAAAGGCCCGGGCCGGGAGAATACCGGCGAATCTTTAATAATAATAATAATAATAATAATAATAATAATAATAATAATAATAATACACCATGAAAGCATCTAACTGCAATATTGGCTTGATAAAGCTCCTGGAGAGCGATACGTTGCCACAATAAATGTCACATTAGTTGCACTTGTGTCCTTTTACTTTACATATTGTCGGTAATTCTACCAACTTTATTACAATATTTTCATGACCTTGACAACTTGTAATAATGGGAATGTCAACACATGAAAATAAAAACGATATTGTTAGATGAAAATCAATTTCAAACCGGCTTCATCGTCGCTAGTGCTCTTCATTTGAAGCTGCTGCACCTAATGATGAAAAAAAAAAAAGTCGCAGGATAGGCTGCGAGTGAAGAAAAGACAGATTTTAGAACAAACTCTTATTCTGGCAGCGTTCCGCTCTGTTTAACCTCATTAAGTCTAATCAAGCTCTACACAGGACGAAACGTTGTTCCAAATAAGAACATAAGAACATAAGAACGAAGGAACACTGCAGAAGGCCTACTGGCCCATGCGAGGCAGGTCCAAGTCTCCTACCGGGTTAAGCCAAAGCACCCAACCTAACAGGTCAGGTCACATTGACTTAAGGGAGGAACCGGCAACCGACCTGTTAGCACAAGCTATCAGGTCTAACTCACACCCACCCACATCTA